TTATTCACGATTTTTTACTTTTTTTTTAACTTGTAATTACTCCTTGGCCCATAGAGAAAGGTCTGGGGGGATGGGGGGGTGCCACAGCTTATAGTTTCTCCTGACAAAGGGCTGAACCCCAGTCCAGTTGCTGGGCTGCAGGGTTTCCCCAGGGCCCCAACTATTTAAGGGTTTTTTTTCCCTCCACCCCTGTAATTAATTAATTGAGCACGGCTATCCCGCTGAAATTCATGTTTCTGCTATTTTAGGAAGGAACCAGGCTTTGGTGGTCATCCCCAGAGAACGTGGTCGCCCTGGCAAGAAGGTGACGAGGGAAGAACAATGTCTTTGCCACCCGTAGGGTGACTTTGCGGGCAGATATCCCGCCAGCATTAAACTTTATAAACGATGGAAGAATCTAATTAAGCCCGGCGTGGTGGGATGCTCCTGCACCACTTCTTGGTTTACTTTTGGTCGTTTATATTTTCCTGGGGGTTTTCATGGAGTTAGAGACTCAACTCATGTTTTAAAGCAGGTTTTTTGGGGTTTTTTTGGTTTTTTGTTTTTTTGTTTTTTTTTTTTTTTGCCATAGCATCTGGTGAACGCTGGCTCAGCCAGGAAGGGTATCCAGCCTGCATGGACAGGGCAACATTCGCCTGTTCCACTGCCTTTTTCCGTGACTACAACAGTTCATCTCAGGGTGCATTCTGCCTCCCCGGAGGACACGTTGACTTTATTGAAAAAGTAGACTCGTTCACTTACTCGGACTTTTTCCGGGATTATTTGATTCCCAACCATCCCTGTATTTTCTCAGCTAAATTCACTGAAGACTGGGGCAGCAGGAGAAATTGGGTAACTTGGGATGGAAAGCCTAACTTTGATCATCTGCTGCAGAAGTTTGGTAAGTCATCACATTTTTATTACCTAACTAAAATGTGTATGCTAAGTGACACAGCTGGTTTTTAGTCTTAGGAATAGAACCTCTAGACAAAACCAAGCAGTTCTCCAGACTTTTTTTTTCTATACTCACTCACATGTTTCGCAGATTCCAATCTCAAATTTATTCCCATAATGAAATAAACTTGAAAGTGTTCTAGAATTTAATGATACCAATTTAAATACTTTCTCAACTTTAACCAGAGTGGCAGCCTGATACTTTCCACAGGCAAAGGGGAAGCATTCTCTAGTTACAGTGGAATTTCTCTTCAGGCTGTGAAATATTAATATATTTTGTAGGAATCAGTCCTAATGTAGTTGAAGAGGAAAATTCAGTTCACATTAAATAAATAACTTCTGGTCTGAAACATGTTCCCCTAGAATGATGGTGTTGGATGTGAGAGCTGGACTAGGAATTGTTGTTTTCTGTGTTTGTACTGTACTTGGCATGAGAGGGTTCAGATAGGCTGCTGCAGTGGCTAAGGTGAAGGAAATTCAGTTTCAGCATTAGTTCTTCTGTCCCCATGTGGGCTCAAAGAGTTTCCGTTTCAGGAGAGGCTGTAGTACCTGTTGCCAACTGCGATGTCAAGGAGTACAATTCTAACCCGAAGGAACAGCTCCCCTTCAAGGAGTATATAAAGTACTGGAAAGAGTACATTAAAAATGACTACCACTCGTCCCGAGGGTGCCTTTATCTAAAGGACTGGCACCTGAGCAGGTAAGAGAGCACCGTGGAAACCCCTGCATGCCGCACACATCGGAGAGCTGCCAGCCTTAGTGCTCGTCTTCTAATGCCTGAGCGTTTAAATGCTCATTAGCACCTGCCCACCAAAGTATCAGTCTTATACTGTTCTGTTCTGGGGGTACTTTACACAACAAGACCCTTAAACAGGTCATTTTTTCCCAAAGAGGCTGACGTTCCTGAGCGCTTTCCTTTTCATCCACATTTTAAATGACTATATGTTATCCCTGTGGCAACTGTGTGGCTGGAACATTTGGCTTTTTTTTGGCTGCAAACTGTCTTGAAAAGAAGGGGGATGTTTCTAATGATGTTTAATTCAGTGGGTGTGTGTGAATTATAATCCTTTATTATCCATTTTCTTTTCTGTTAACCTTCCCAGTCGTTCAAGTTCTCTTTGCTCTGTCCTGGCTTTCCTTCTCCTCCAGCCTGCTGCTTGCGAGGTGGATGCATTGTCCATTCCCCACATCTGTGTAGGACTTTTACATCTTTTCACTCAAATCTCTTCTTCCTTAAACATATCCTGCTCTTAATCAGCTTGTGATCAGCTCTTGTTTTCATTTTTTGAGTGTGCTGGTGACTTACAATAAATGAAGTTTACCAGTCTGTGCCTCCCTGTTTGTCTGCTTTCCCAGACACGGGTGCTGTGGCTTGCTACAGAAAGGGAAAGGGGCAGCACATCCTGTGGGAGAAGGCCACACACTTGTCAAAATCCCACAGCCTGGCTTCTCTCCTAACCCTCACACCCCCAACCTGGCATCCAGTGGGACAACCAGTCTTGCAGGCACCTCATCTCAGGAGAATGTGTTTATTAGGATCTCTCTTTGCCCTAATTAGGAGTCTCCCAAATGGTAGTTAACCCTCACAGCTTTCCTGGGAGACCAAAAATCACTATTGTGTGCATTTTGTGTGCCACTCAGAGTTGTTAATGATACAAAGGCAATGACAGCAAAGTATTAATGGTCTGCTAGAGACCTGATCGGTCTCTGTGATTGGGTTTTGGGAACTGAAGTCGAAGCAGCAACGCTGCATTTTTCTGAGAGCGATTTCCAACATATTATCTTTTTCAGAGCTTTCCCCGAACAAGATGTTTATACAACCCCTGTGTATTTCTCATCCGACTGGCTGAATGAATACTGGGATGCTATCGCTGTGGACGATTACCGGTTTGTCTACATGGGACCTAAGGGCTCATGGTAAGACAGTGTGGTTTCTGGCATTCTCACATACTCATTTTTAAGACTTAATATTACAGAGGATTATGGCATTGCACTTCAGGATAGCGTGTGGCCGTACAGTATAGTGTTACCTGAACCCAGCCAGTCTTTTTTCTCAAGGAGCTCATTTGATTCTGGATGTGAGCTGTCGTTATACAGTCAGCTAAAGTGCTTTTACACTTTGAAAAACACTGAATTGTGCACACAAAACCTGCAAAAGTTGTCAGCTAGCTTATATAAGGTTATAGAGCAGAAACTCCCTGTGGATCATCAACCTCTTGTGATTCAGAGTCAACGGAAGCCTTGGAGGGGAGTTGATGAGTTGGTCAAATATTTTGCAGGTGGAAAATTAAATCCAGCATTGGTAATAAAGTTACATTTACAGTGTTCCCATCAGTTCACATCACAGAATCTCTTGCCATTGAGGTATTTGTGGGACAGATTCAAAACTAACTGATGGAGAAGGATAGAGTTTATAAAACACTGCAATACTATGTTGATATAGTGGCCTTTTAGTACTTAAAAAAAATTAAATGAAGAGGATGATAGTTTGGGATCAGATTTGCATAGTAAAGTTTGATTTCTCTCTGTATGGCTGGTTCTCAGAGACTTTAATTCATCTTACAGCTTTTAGGCGTTGTCTTTAATTAAACCTCTGCTTTGCCCCCCAGGACTCCATTCCATGCTGATGTCTTCCGTTCCTATAGCTGGTCAGCCAACATATGTGGGAGAAAGAAATGGCTCTTGTACCCCGCGGGACAGGAGGAGTATCTGAAAGACCGCCACGGCAACTTACCTTTCGATGTAACTGCACCTAGTCTTCAGGACAGGAGTGTTTACCCTCGCTACAACCAAAGTCAACCCCCTGTTGAAATTGTGCAGGAAGCAGGGGAGATAGTCTTCATCCCCAGCGGATGGCATCATCAAGTTTACAATCTGGTGAGATAACTGAGAGCAACCATTTTGTAACAGAGAGAGAAAATCAGGCAGCAGGCTTGAGTCAGGTCAAACTTTTATTGCAAGCCTGAACTCATAAGCTCTTTGGGTCATTGACCACTAGAAACTGGAAGAGTGTTCAATTGAAGAAGCTGTCTGTACCTTCTTTTTGTTTGCTTGTACTCATTAGATGCTACTAGTCACTGAGAGATAGGATATTGGGTGAGATGGACTCATGGTGAGGCTGTTAATCTTGGGTTCTAACTGTAAATTGTAATTTAATAATGGAAAATGCTAAGAAATTAGTCTTCATGGTTACAAACCAAAATTAACAACCTTGTTTCTTTCTCCCCACCTTTGTGCTCTTAAGAAGTATGCTCAGACAGAGGAACTGGAGACATTTGTCGGTTTACAGAGTGAAACAAGATTTGTTTGTTCAGGAGACAGCCTTTCAGCACAGGGGTGGTATCGAGCCAAAGAAGCATTTCCCTTGCTGAGGAATTATGATTTTACATTTTGCAGTGATGTTACAGCTGTTTTCTCACACTTTCCTATGTCAAACCTAATAACTATTTAAATTATTCCTTCAGGAGGATACCATTTCCATTAACCACAATTGGGTGAACGGCTGCAATGTGGCCATCATGTGGTGCTTCCTGCAGGATGAGTTAGCAGCCGTCCAGCGGGAAATCAATGAATGGAAGGACCCTATGGATGATTGGCACCTACAATGCCAGGTATAACGACACGATCCTGGCTGCCTGACTCTTCATTAGAGGATCATATATTTCAGGGGTGCATTGCACCACCTTATAAGAGATCTAAGACACACGAGTCCTTTGCCTCATACCTAGAATTAGCCCAAGTTTCATACAGAAGTGGGAACTGGTGACAGCTTCATCTTACAGAAAAACAAATATTACTTTAGTAAGACAAAGGCTTGTGATGGTACAATTGGCTTTGTCAAAGAGGTTAGGATGTTGTCTGAAAATCTGATGCTTCAGCTGCTCTTCTTCAACTATCAAGGGTAGTGTGAGCATTGAGATCAATCCTTTACATCCCCCTTTATAAGTGCTTTTTCATGTAAACAGCAGAACTGAGAAGCCAGACCCCACACAGAAGAGGTGGTTTAAAGGCCATTCATGACAGAAGAGTGGGTGTGAAACAATTAGGATTAAAGTGAAAGTGGCAGCAGGTTTCTGTGTCTGCAAAGTGGTGCTTTCACAAGGCATAACTAAACTGAGCACTGTTGTGTCTTACATGCTCCTCAAATCTTAAGCATGGAGCAAATGTAAAGTTTATTTCTGGAGACTGTTAGTGCTGCTAGGTTGATATTCTTCAAAAATAAGTTTAAAAAACCACAGGCCATTTAGTACTTAGAAAAAACAGAGTGTTGCTTTTGGGGTTAGTGGCATTTCAAGGTCCAGAATTTTAGTGCCATGGGGAAATTTAAAAATAAAACAAAAAAAGTTTAAACATAGTTACTTATGATTCCAGATAGTAACTAGCTTGATAAAGTATGGTTTTTTTAATTCTTACTATAAATAAAAGAGAGTTCTTTCCATTTCAATGCTGGTTTGTTTTTTTTTCCCCCCTAGTTGATCATGAAGTCTTGCACGGGTATAGACTACAAGGAGTTCTACAACTTCCTCAAAGTTATTGCAGAGAACAGGATTTCTGTCTTGGAAAACGGCCTCGATGACGAAGCTTCGGCAAAGAACACTCCAAAAGCTGCCATTTCCACCTTGGGCATGCTCCACGCAGTGTTTGATTTAAAGAGGACTGTGAAGGTGTTAACATCATTGAGTGCTAATGAAGATTTCAAGAAACTAGACCTGACGTCACTTTCTCCACCTCCGGAGGCATTGCTCCACCACCTGAAAGCAGCAATAGATACAGCGCTACTCTAACTTCCTCTTTGTAAAATGAACCTTTTGCAAAATGGGTGTTTGTAGGAGACTAACTCCTCCCTGTTTAATAGCTGTTGCAGTTTAAGTACAAAGAGCCTTAATATAGAGTGGGGAGAGAGTACATTCATAAGAAGTCTGAATACTTCTAGAGTAATTGGGCAAGAAAAAAAAAATCTCAGATAAAAGAAAATCACTAGTTATGTTAGTATGATATTATGAGCCCTGCCGCTGAGTATCCATTCAGGGAAGATGAACAGAAATTCTCTGTTGGTCGAGCTTTGGGCTGTTAGGGCTAAACGCTGAGCTTGCAGTGGTCTACACCTTATTCCCTCTGCTCTCAGAGCACTGTATCCAGACAGCAAACCTCCACTGCAGGCTCCAGTGGTTAAGTTGTGCTAAATTACTTTAAGACCAGTCAGCTCAGGTGCAGCTCAGCTTTCTTTTTTTTTTTTTTTTTTTAAGGAGAAATTAGTGCAGATAGCAGATTTACCACAAATAATTTAAGCATGTGATCCACCCAAGCTCAAAAAGAGGAACTTGAATGTACTCTCACGTTTCTACACACTATTTCAAGGCACGGTATTTTCTCAAGCAAAGATTTGATTAATCAGGGAAGCTAGCAAATAGCCTCATAATCTAAAAAAAAGCCACGCTGTTAACACACCAAATAGCACTACTGCATGGTTACACAGCACAATTTGCAACCTGAATGCTACCCTTGGGCTAAAAGAGTATTTCCAGTGAAGTAGCCCTCTTGTTTTTACTGGTTGGTGAGAAAGCCTAGAAGCACAAATGGCTGCACACTGTTACCTTAGCTGCCCCTTTAGGGCTGACTTGAATTTTTGCTCAAGAACTTCCTCAATTTTCAACCAGATGACCAGTAAGAGCAACTAATAAGCCTGTGTTTAGAAAGTGCAATAGTACATATCTCTAGTAGGATGAAAAAAATCCTGTTTTCTAGATAATCCTGTGGAGTTTGTATGTGCATGCATTTTGCATGTCCTATTTTCTAGTAGATGTTCTGCATTTTGAGTAGGAAGTGGTACCTGAAATTAAAATCAATTTTTTGAGCATGGAAGGATGCAATGTGGAGGAAACAGTTTTGTTTTGTTTTTTTTTTTTTTAAACAGCTGTGACTACACCTCAGTGATTCAACCTTCTGGCAGGGTGTTTCTTTGGACTGGAAAACTGCCAGTTTTTCAGCAACTCTGAAATTAAAAGCTCACAGCTGTTCCTTATGGCTGTTTACATTCTCAAAGGCAGGCAGCTGGAGCTTTCTTCCTTAGATGAATAAGGTGAGATTTCATAGAGGTGAGGAGCAATGGTTTAAAGCCGACAATCGGTAGGAAAGCATGTTTTTGGTCTTGTATTCCCCAGTCTCACTGCATGTTGTATAACTAGTATTGCCACCAACCACTTTAAACACTGCAATTTTATAAAGGGTTTGCTTAGATGAACAATATTTTTTATTTCACATCCCATGAAGCTGGAACTGTTTGGCTTTGCAGTGTGAAAACAGCAAGAACACAAGTCTAGCTTTTACACCGAGATCCCAGTATCTCAATGTACCCAGGACCAGTTTAGGCACCGTGCTGCCCAGCAGACTACATCCTCGTTTGGATGGATGGCGTGAGTTTGCTGTGATGCAAAAATTCAGGCAGCACTTCTAAGGGAAGAGGCATCATTTCAGGAGTTAGTTCCTCTTCCCTGGAGAACACAGGTAAGGAAGAAGACTGGCCAGCGTGGTAGGGAAGCTAAAGAGGTGTTCAGGTAGAGGAAGGTGGGTCTCAGCTACTCACTTTCTCTTCACCTGAGCTGTCTCTGCACTGCAGCATCTTCAACATCATCATAAGGGCTGTAAGGCTTAGTGTGGTCCAGTGGGGTAAAAAAAAGAAGTTTAATTGCAGGAAATTATCTTAAAGTTTCATCCATGTTTTCCCCCCTGCTTTGTCAGGGGAACAGAAGCACAAAGGTTGGTTTTATTGATTCAGTCTTTCTTACAATTACATTAGGAAACTAATTTGTGGTTCAAATTCTCCATTCCCATGCATGACCAAGGCAGTAAGGGAGCCACGTATTTTCTAAAGTTAAAAAGAGGAAAAGAAATTTTCAAATATTTGAAGACAGCAACAAGATTAGAATAAGAATTATGCGAGCCTGGAATCTCTCTTAAAAATTAGACAGCTTTATTTAAATACAAGTTACTGTAAAACATACATTAGGATACTCTCATACCAATATATTAACTATTGTAATCACTGTACTATTTATTAAAGCATAATACTTGCAAGAAACAGGAGGAAACAGTCTGTAGAATTTTATTTTATTTTCCTGAAGTCACAAACCTGGGCAATTAAAGGTCAAACTGTAAAAACAAGAGCACGTTAAAATCTAGTTCAAAAGAGCTTTTGCTCTAAATATGCAACTCAGACACTGCTATTTTTGTCTGATAGGAACAGGATACCAAATATCCCTTTGCCTTTTATAAAGGCAGCATAAAACCCAGCCCAATTCTAATCTGATTTGTACCCCCACCAGCATCAGTGGGTGATATCTGTCAGCACAAAGCTGTGCACCTAGGAAAACCAGTGTTTTTGCAGCTCTGTCAGTGCAGAAAGCCAGGTGATTTTACGTTTTGTCTCACCAGGATTTGAGATTTCTTACCCCAGGACGATGCATGTCCTTTCTATTAGGCACACGTGAACCCCTGCAGAATTACAAAGCAGCACGAGCGTGTTCAAGGTGCAAGTTGGATATCCCTGAGATTTAACAGGAGGCTGCAGAGGGTAAATATACACTTGTAAGTATCATAAAACAAGAAAGTTAGTCAATAGCAGCTTTACAACGCAATGGAGAGGTACAAGGTTGGCATAGGTAGGAAGAGGAATGGAAGAACCTTCCTCTTAGGGCTACAGGAAAAGCCAGCTCACCCCAGGAAGGGGTGGAGGAGGATGGAGATGGTGCCCTGCTTCTGCCAACCAGAAATAATCCCACCACAACAGTTCATGTGGTTTCATTTTACTTCTTCCTGGAAAATAACCTCCCTGATGTCCATTCACCAGTGCAAAAAAAAAAAAAAACACAGCATCTGAGAGAACAGTCAAAGGAGGTTTCAAGGCGAATTGTTATTTGCAGGGAAGTGAAATAAAACTACAGAGTAAAAGAAACCGTGGCCGCTTTCCTCAAAGACATTCCCAACACAAGCTGAGGTTGTGTATTGAAGGCTTTTAGCCCACAGCATCCGTATGTCGGTGCTTTACGATCACACCTCGTCCAAGAGAAAATCCAGCAAGAAACACTCCTCTGAAAAATAACCATTCTTCCCTTTTTAAAGGCAGCCAGAACAGCAGCGACATGATTGCTTCTTCATCCAACAGTGTTCGGTCAAGAAAGTGCGGCAGGGAGGAGGTTCCCTTCAGGTCCTGGGGCTCAGGAGCTGTGAGTCGCGTGGCAATTCTCTCTTTGGTGGAGTCTCATCCTCTGGATGTGTTCATAGCATGACTGGGCAAGGAACAGAGCAACCCGTTAAGGAGAAATTTGGGAATTTGGAGCCAAAATGTGGCCTCTTGCACACAAAGTGTTGCCCCACAGGCTAGGCAAAAGATGAAATCTGCACATTATAAATTAAAGATAAGCATATTCTCTAGACCAGAAGGAAAATGACCTGTGCTAGGCATAAAAACAGCCCTCTAAAAATAAATGAGAGTATAACACATCAGTGTCTCTGCTACTCAAGAAAGGTTAATGCAGCTCGCAACTGTCAGTGATGAAAATGTTTCCCTACCTCCAGCGCTGTTAACAGAAAGTCATAGAGTCCTCCTTGGTTGGTGGGGTCCATCAAGTCTCTGATCAGATGGATTTCAGCTCCCAGGTGCTGTATTCTAGGGAAAAAAATAATTAAAAAAAAAAAGGTCATAACTAGAACAAATCTCTCAGAACTGGTGTTTGTGGGCATATTTTTGAAATCAGAATATGGAGGGAGGGAGGCATGGATCTGATCAAATCCACTGCTGACTCCTTGTGCATCACCTTGATCTTCTGGAGGCTGAGTCTTTGGGGTATCCAGCATGACTGGACCTCAGCAAAGATGCTCGATCAGAAGAAAATTTTAGCTTCTCCATTTTACACCATCTCTCTTCTTCCCCTCCTCTCTCATCTACAGTCGAGAGAGCTGCCTAGCAAACAAACTGGTACCATCCAACATGACTGCAGCAAAAAAAATAAAGCTTCTGGATTTCATGGCCCCAAGTTTAAACATTTCACCCTTTTTTGGAGACCAAGCGCATCCAGGAAGTCAGTCAAGGACTTTGACTCAAATTTGCCAGGAAAAAAAAAATACACTTTTATTCAACTGGATGTAAGCAGGTTCTTGCTGTTCCAGTGAAAGCAGCACAGACAGAGCCTCTTTGGCAGAAAAGTGTTACATTTACAGTCATTCCTACGCAGGAAAAGTCTAATTACTACATGGTCAGTGTTCAAGACCTTCCTAGTCTCCAAACTGGATCACGGTGCCCTGTTGAGGATGGAAAAATAGCAGATGGACCATATACGGATGATGCCTTGAGGGCATCAACAATTGGCCTTCAAAAGCTTCATGTTCCTGTTTTCTACAGTAATCTGAGATGCAGGTAAGACCCCATTTCCCACAACAACCCTGATAACTTGGATAAGAGATGGACACTCAAGAAGTCCCCAGCCACTTTATATCATGGCCAACACCATCACGCCACAGCTGGGAGACAGGAGCACACAGAAACCCCAGTACAGCTCAGGAAAATAAAAAAGTTAAAACCTTTTTTTTAAATTTAAACAATTTGGCTGTAAACGTGGCTTTCCTTTCTCTGGTTGAGTTATCACACAACAACAGGACTGGGAAATGAAAAACTTCCACTTACTTTGCTCGGGATACGACATACATCAGTAGGGGCAACAGGTCATCCATGGGGAGCTTGTAGTCCTTCTCTACCACCCGCGACACCGTGCTCTCTATCTCCTCATACGTCTTCTGGAGGATCACCAGCTTTTCCCTGGGATCCACCGTGGTGCTGTCAGTGTGAAAACAGCCATATCAAAGATGCTTCCACTACACAGCTAAAGAGATAAAGCAGCAGAACTAAAAAAAAAATACTCAGAGGAGATCATCATGCTCAAAAACAAAAAAAAAAAATCTGTCAATCATCTCAAATGGCTGCACCAAAAAGGGGTCAACAAGGTTGTGCCAGGAGGTATCGCCAGGGTGTAACATCATCCAGATGGACTTTGGGTCTTCCCGAGTCCTGAGTGTGACCTGCTCACCCTAGTTTCATTTTAGACAGGACTAACCCGAGTCACAGTCCCTCAAATAAAAGCTAAAGAGTGTGGGACGAGTCACTTTGGGCAGTTCTAGCGAGGGGTTAACAGAGTTGTGTGCTGCCTTCCCCAGAAGCAAAGTCACCTTGGCTTTCATCGAGAGGCTCTCACCAGGACTTCGGGACCCAAGAGCTCCTCTCTGATGGATCCCACACCACCTCCCGGCTCCCCTTTATCTTCCTTCCCACTCCTTACAGCAGCACCATCCCCTAGGCTGGGCTTCAAGTCAAGGAATCAAGCTGAGCTTCTTAAATTGAGCTCTGCTTTGCTACATGAACGTCTTGGGATGTCACATTGGATGGATAACCCTCATGTAGCTCCATGTGTCCAGAGCATTGGGCTCTGTCGTGACCTAATTTGCTATGCACACTGACATGAGTGAATTCCATCTCACCAAAGTCAGATCTCCACAAAATTAAGGGGAAATATTGGCCAGGTAACGGTTGCATTTAAACACAATCAATATTGTCTTGATTTTTTGGGGGGAGGAGGGGGAAAATAATTCTATAGAAGTGACTTTTTCTTCTAAAAATAAATAATATCACAACTTTTCTTTAAATAGTCTTGCAGGCTGACCCAGAAATGCTGTAAACAGGTGTAAATTTATGGCATTTCCCAGAAAACAGAAGATCCCTGGTTGTCAGTTGGAGACTATGAGCAATGACTTACATCAGCTTCTGCAAACACTCTGTAGCGGACAGGAAACACTTGTCTTTGATAAGGGACCGCCTCTGAAAGGGAAACAAAGAGTTGTGCCTCTGGAAGAGCATCTCTGTGAGGGCTACCACATGGCTCCTCGGTGCTGGGCCCAAAATAAGCATGTTTGGTGCCCATAAAGGAGGGCAAAATAAAGCTCATGTAGACACTCTGAACACAGATGTCTTTGGACCACCACCGAGCATAGCAATCTAATGCAGAGCTCATATTCCCATCCATGGACTTTCATATCCAGTAGCTACAGATCATAACTAACCAACACACGTTGTGTAGGACTGATTGTGGATTAGCCTGCCCCGTGGTTATTTGGGTGGAGCTCCATCATTAGCCAGCACCAACACATAGCCCCAATACCATCTCACACCCCAAAGCCAACTCTTAGCGTTATTTCTTACCTGGTTGGTTGTCAGCGTGAGATCTTTCAGAGGCCAGAGGTGCCTGAAAGGAGATTTACAGAGAGGATTTAGAAGGCAGATGTCCATGTCTTAACTCCACCCTAAGTCAGTTTTGACCGTTTTTGTCTCCGTGTTCAAGGTGATGCTAATGTCTTACAGGTGCATGAGGCTGAGTTTGCTCCTCTTGTTACCCTGCTACAGGACGAATTAGTAGCTTCGACTCATTAACCTGAGTGTAGGGTTCATTTTACTCACAGATACTCCTGTAATAATCCAGGAGAGTTCTGGCACTTTCAGGTTCAGTTCCTCTCACTGAGACTGAATCAAATTGCCAAATGGGGACTCTAAGGCTCCAGCTACCTTGTTAAGTCCTTGAGCTGCGGATGATGTTGTGTTAGAAGAGCTCATGTGCCTCTTGAGTCTGAGTCATTGCTCTTCACACATCACTTCCAGAGATGGATCTAGCTGCGGGAATAGGTAGAGGAAATATGTGGCTCCACAGCCTTTCCCCCATCTCAAGATTGTGTGCCTACATCGTTACAGCAGATACCATTGGGTGGACTATAGCCCTTTCTATGACACATTTATAAACTTTGGTCCTGAGCTGGAGCAAGCTGTTTGTTTGGTGAGCTAGAAAAGAAGATTTTTACTAGACAAAAATGAAAATTAATATAGCAGCTTTCCACTAGTCAGTGTTTTTCTTCCAGCCAGTGCTCCAGGCACTCCACAATTGGACTTCCCCAGCAGCCAAGGAAAAACTTCAGTGCTACAGCCAATGATGGACCCAGGAACAGGTTATATGTCCTTTCCTCCTGTGCCATCAGAGCTTTCCCTGGCTGCTGCCTTCCCATCTGGTATCCTGGGATGAAAAAAATGTCACTTACTTCTGCACATCCAGAAATTCCAGCAGCTTGATGTCAGGAAATAGACTTAGGTCCACGATCCCTTGGCAGTAGAGGTCATCTTCTCTTTCATGGTAGAGCATGTAGAGCATGAAAAGCTCGGGGTAGAAGCAGGGCAAGATCAGCGGCAGGATGACACTGCATGCCTTCTGGTCACTATGGCAAAGAAAAGCAAAGTCCTGAAGTGAGTCTTAGAACCTCGAGGCACAGACCATGCAATGGAAGAGGCAGCTTCTGAGAATCCAAGGTGTTCTCCCATCCTTCCTCCACCTTAGAGTTCCATGTCACAGTTGGGCAGTAGTGACCCATATAACACTCTCATGCTGAAGATGCAAGTGCATCTTATGCTGTGGGACAGCACAAGGTCTCCTTGATCACTGGGAGAGACCTGGAGCACCAGAGACCTGTCTCCAGCCATTCTTTCTGAGCTGCTTCAGTAGAGGACTTGTTTCTTAAGGAAGACCAAACAAGTTCAGCTAAAGCTCTTTTCTAGCTCTTTACCATTCCACCAACCTCTTCATAGAATCACAGGATGGTTTGGGTTGGAAGGGACCTTAAAGACCATCGAGTTCCACCCCCCTGCCATGGGCAGGGACACCTCCCACTAGCCCAGGTTGCCCAAAGCCTCATCCAGCCTGGCTTTGACATTCAGCCCACATGGGGATGGCTGCAGATTACAGCAAAGAGAAATCCAGACTAAATGGGAAACAGGTGAACAAAGATGTTTCTTCCCACCGCCAAAACACCTAAACCTGGATCTCCCACAGTTATTCTTACTTTCACATCTCCAACTCACCACCCTATTCTGCTACAGAAGTTGGTCTCATGCTTCAAGGAGAACTACTGAAACCTTTGCACTCAGAAGTGTGGGAGCTAAACCTGGCTCCAATGGACAAATTCAATCAGTTCAGCACTGAAGGTATTTTAGAAGACATGCCCTATGGCCAAGCAGCTTCAAATTAAACAAGCAGTGGTGACACATACCTTATCTCTCCATCCACACACTTTGCAGGCAGTTGGCCTTTTTGTTCCAGTGCCAGATGGAGCAAACCCCTAAAAGAGGAGCAGAACCAAGATTTAGTTCCCCCTTCCTCTTTTCTCTGATTGACTTTGCTGTCCTCATTACTTAGTGAGGTTTCTTGCTCATATTTGTACTTGTCTAACTGAAGTCTTATTATGGGCAACAGCTTGTTGAACTGCCATAACTAAGTGAGATTTAGTCCCATTAAAGCCCCTGGGTCATGTTCTGAGCAATGGGCATAATAAAGGTTTGCTGTGACTTCAGTTATTACAAATAACTTTTTATCTACCACCATTCTGAAGCAACGCTCCCAAGAAATATGTCACCTGAAAAAAATAATCCCAACAGTCTACTCTGCAAGTTCTTTATGCCCATACCCATTTGTAGGACTCGGCATGCTTGACTTACTGGTAAAATTCCCATATTTTCTTTGCATAGTACTTGACTTCCTCTTGCGCCATAGTCAGCAAGTGTCTGTTGGCCCCAATCCCAGAATATGTTGCCTGAAAAGCTATCGTCAAGGCCTTCAGCAGCTTTCCCAGTGGGTGCAGGGAAGATTTCAATGCCTGCACGACAGGGGAAAATTAAATTTTACAAGCCAGCCCTTGCCATTAGTAGAGGATATCACTGAAAGGCCACCCAACCTTCTCCTCTCAGCACATGACAGCAAGCCCGAAGGGAATCAGCTATAATTTTGTTCTATTTTTGCTGCTACAAGCCCATTCTCCTCCCATTATCAGGCAGAAATGTGCTTAGCAGAATTGCTGTTCTGATGAGATTTGCTGTGATATTCAAGAGAGAGAGAGAGAGAGAGCAAAGGGTGCTTCAGGGAAAGACTGACTGAGTGAAAATTAACCACCAAGACTGTGTGGAAGTTCATTTATAATTTCCCACAGCTGGTCATTCCCTGACACAGTTTGAGAACCAAGAGTGAAGGTTTATCATCAATTCCTGGCCCATATAGCTGTATGCAATAGAGGTGTATGAAAAGGATGACTCCCTTCTTCACAAGTATGGGTATCCACTCGTCATTTAGAGGAGATTCTTGAAGTCACAATAGAAAGCAACAGAAAGTTGCTATGACCCATGTCAGGGTCTGGTGGACAGACATGGATCATTATGGTTTTAATCTTTACCTTCTCTAAATAATTCTGTAGTGACTCCAGCCCCTGGTGCTGGACAAGCTCTTCAAGAATATCTTCTGTCTTCCAGGATACATCCTCAGTCCCCCTGGAAAGATGAGAAGTGAGGAAGGAAAACTACACAACGGAGCACGGGTATAAATCCAAATTGGTATCGCAGGTGGATTCCAAGGGGGCAATAAGACTATCAGAATAAAATTTTTCTCTGCCCTTTTCAATGGAATTGCTCCACTGGCTTGGCTTATGACACCTGCGATTATCTGAATTCATCACCCTTGGTTCTCCTTACAAGCAGCCTGGGTTCCATCCTGCACATTGTCTGTTCTATTTTAGGTATTTTCTTAAGGGGAGATGACTTTGCTCTGCATCAGCTGGCAATATCGGTTGGGTTTCCCTCGAATACTAGAGGAGCCAGCAATGACTGGGTCACATACAGATGCTTACATTTCATCAAATTAATCCCATCCAAATTTTCACTTATAAAAATCAACCTCAGCAACACAACCTTAAATTCAGACTTAAAATTTATCCTCCTGCCTCATGAGCAGGAACAACTAGATGGTGCTTGGGTTTGTAACTTTAGCACATGGCAGACCCTAATGCAAACCATTATCATCTCTACACAAATGGGCTCCTCTGCTGTAATGAGGGCGTGCGATGCTCATACCTTTGGCAGAAGAGGTACTCCTGAGATTTCCGCAGCTCCTTGCTCGTTTGTATGTGGAACCCCATGAAAGACTCCTCCGTTTCTTCTTTGCAGCCGGAATGGATGAACTCCAGGAACTGGTCATAGATTCCCTTCCACCTCTTCTCCACTGGGAACTCATCGAGGCCCAGCTGACTGCAAAACATAACATGACATCTAGGTCCCTCCTCAATTATTTCAGACTTCACTGATATGGAAGGTTCTCCAGAATCAGATCTTAAGACAAGAACTATGGGAGCAGAGAAAGATGGCAATGCCTAACTGGCAATTCAGCAAAAAACCAACCCAAGTCTATTGTCCTGGCAAGGACGTGCTTTGGGTGAAGACAAATTCCTGCAGTGTGGAACATCAGTAATCTGAATCTTTGCTGGCGAATTGATCCCAGGCTTTCAGCTCCACTTATGGATGTCTTTAACTGTACACTATTTATTTCAACTGAAAGCCTGCAGAAAAGACTGATAGCAAGAAGACAGTTGAGCAACCACCACCAGTAGCTATTGCTGCCTGAAAAGCACAGGAGACAGGAGCTGTTTCTCCAACACAGATACTCTGATGGACTGGAAATATTTTGAAGAGGAAAGGAGAGGAAATTGAACTGGGGTTTGTGAGAAGAATTCCCCTCAGAGGACAGGCAGATGTCTTTCCCACTGGGACTCCATTTGGGTTCAACTGGCTGAACCCAGGCCCTCCAGCCTGACGACCAGAGCATCCCTTTGGAGGGTTCAGCCCTGAAAATAAGAGTCTCTGCCAAAGGGTGTGGCCTCTTTTTTCTCTTTCTTTCCTTGAGTATAAACCAGTTTTTGAGATCAGCTCTTTCAGGTAAGGACTGCTTTGATCCCTGTAGGGTTTGATCCAGTACTCCTCTAGGCAGAGTCAAAATACAAGCCATAACCCAAGCAATCAGCTGGTTTTGCTCACGCTTTGGTTATCCTCTCATCCAGCTGCTCGTTCGATGTGTTGAGGATGCCATGGGTCTGAAGGCCTTGGCCCGATTTGTTAGTGAAGGTTCCCTCCAGAATGAAGCCGTTGGCAAAGGACAGCTTTCCCTGCAAGGGAGAAATGAAGGGTTATTCTGCCAAGATCTCATTAGCGAGAGGAAACAAGCTGGACTGAGATCTCAAATTCTCTTTTCAACAGAGTCAGCTCCTGAAACAGCGACTAAGAACATCTTCCAGCACGGAGGTGAACAGTTTCAGCATCCAAAGCAATAGTGTCGTTAAGGTGGAAGTTACTGGAGAAAACATGTCCTTGCTGTTGAGTGACACACGGAGGATTCTGGAGGGGAAAGACCACCAATATCACAGAGTAAAACATTTGTGTTATGCTTTACAAACACTCAATATCTTCTCCGACTTCTAAAATTTTCTGGCTTAAATTTGACAATAGTTATTAGAGTGAACACATGAGACTTCCATTTCTGCTCTGTTTTTCCTCTGCTGGTGAAAACCACAAGCAAGTTTGGCCCCACAGGTAAGGGGAATCACATGATATTCACCATCAATGCTTTCAAGATGTTTGCTGCTACCAAGAAAAACCTTCAAGTCTCTGAGGCAAATACAGGGGACATGAAGTACCTTGACACAAACTTAGAAGTTTTAATGAAATCAAATTGAAATCCAAACAATATCTTAACTAGCCTGGCTTTGAATATGAGCCTGAAATCCTCATTGCTAGTAGCAGGAGGCTAAATAAATAAAGAATTTTCTACACTAACCACTAAAACTAAAGATTAATTTTGGAGGAACGAGTATCTAAGCACTCTAATCAATTTGCAAAATTCACCCTGAGTCTTCCGTCTGCAGAAGATGATGCCAAACTCCTCCTCCCATGACAAGTCAGTAGATGACAGGGCTCATTTGCAATCATTACCAAATGTCTGTTTTGACATCCACTCAGTCTGATATAACCACACATTTCCTGTCAGACTCGAGATTTCTGTGACAAGCCAGAGGACTAGTTTTCCCTGCAACGGGACACTTTATGAATGCTTTGGGCAGGTATTTCTGTTAAACATCAACCACAAAATGCTGAACGTGTCAGTGCAGTGTCCAGATTGCAAAATTCAGCTTCCAAGATCCCTCAGCTCTGTTAACATCTCGGTTACGTTAGCGTAGTGCTTCTACTGTAACTCCGTTTGGTTTATACATCACTTCCTGTGTTCCCAGCCACTACAAACACTAAAACTTTTGTTCAAAGAATACAAAAGCATCCCAATTGCAGCTTCAAAGCACAGACAAAAATGTCCCACAAAAAAAAAAACCTATATAAACAAAACAGTAACAACCAAAACAATGCACAAAGCCCCCAACTACTTGTAGTCTCTCAGCTGCAGACTTCCTCCTGTGAATGAGACTGATAATAGAAAAAAAAAAATTTAAAAAAACAGGAAAATTCTATTTTCTTGGGGAAGTGGAGTGGGAGGGTATGAACTTTATCAGCCCTTCTGGAAAGCAAGTAACTGTATAGAAAGGCTGAGATGGAGGAAGTGCTCACCTTTCCAACAAATGTTAGCTCTTCCGTGAAGTTCCCTTCATAGACAGAGTCATCTTCCAAGAGCAGAATCCCAGAACCCTTAATTTGAGAGCAGAAGTAGTGACTTAATGACATTAATTTCCTCTCTGCTCAAATTTATCTAGAAACAGCCACTGGCTTGCATTATTTATGGGCTGGAGATGCTGAGAACCTTTTTGAAAGCCCAACATATCATTGCAATGCTCAAGAGAAAAGCAAGGAGGTGCTCTGGAGATAACCCACCAGGCATCACTGCACAGAGAAGTCTTAGGGGGTCAGGAGGTTTTAAACAACAGTGCTATTGCATTCATTTCCCTAGAAAAAGGAACAAAGGGCAGATTCCTGTTCTAAGAACAGTCACCAAGAATTGCCATACGGGACAAACTCATGGTCCTCCCAATCCTATGACCTTGAGGTGATTGTGGCCAATTGTGTCATTCTTTGCAAGATGATTAAGAGAAAAGAGGAAGGCAGATGCTATGTAGAATTAATTTTATCCCTTGCTGCGCAGTCTACGGGGCTTTAATGAGCTGATAGTAAGCATTAATTAAATGATTTGTTCCATTACCTCCCAACTCCCACGGCTGCTTACAGTAGCACACATCTCAGGGAAGGAGCACCGAGATGCAGAACAAACACAGGATAATTTAGACCAATGGGGAAAGATTCTTCTTGCTGGGGCTTAGCCCGTGGTTTGAGACCGAAGGTTTATACATACCCATACCAGCCAGAAAATGTGGTCACTTCTAGAGCTGTAACACATTTTCCGCTGGAATGGTTTTCTTGGTGGAAAGCGCCCTTTCTGGCAAAAATAAAAGGTTTCCAAGGGAAGCTTCTTGGCCATACCAATTTTCCACTAGGAAAACTGAAGTGACTGCTCCCCACCCGGAAGCCTTCTGAAGTTAAAGGAGGCTTTGGCAGCTGGGAGACCAAAAGACAGCTTTATTTTGGTTCCCCGCAGATGGAGTTTTTATGGAAAACCCTTCTGACAAAGTTTCCATGCTAAACATTTTGTCCTCATTTTTGGTGAGTGGGGAAGGGGTTGTTTGTTTTTTTAAGTGCATATTTTTCATGAGAAGAAATGCTTTTATTTCCGAGCCAGTTCTAGCGATGCCAATCCTTTTTGCTTTCCCCACCAACATCTAAACTTTCAATGACCTGGACAGCCAACTTGCCATAGGTGAGCTCACACTGGAAAGGTAAAGACTTTATTATCTCTAAGATAGATGTAGACCACGTATGAGTTCTGGTCTATAATTGTGACCTGATGGTCAGCCAAACAGACAGACCTATAAGGTGTCTTAGCATAAGCAAGGAGAAGTGACAGTCTCACATCTAGTTCCTACCTGCACCTCAGGAAGATGTTAAGAAACAAGAGTTAATCTAAGCCTTGTTCTTCAAAAGCATTATTATGGTCAAATATCAGTGCTTAACTTGTCTTGCTTTCTATTTTCCCTCAAAGATTTCTTATGGAATCTTAATCTTGCCCTTAATGGGAAAGGAATTCAACATCCCACCAATCTGGAGAGTCCACTGAAAATGTATACTCACCACCATTTTATCAGCATGAAATGTCCTTTGATAGCAGACACCCGACTGGGTTACTACAATGCCTTGTCCATGTCTGTGATCATCGAGCCATGTCCCTATGTATCTCTCCCCTCTGGAATGCAAAAGAAAAAAGGTTTTTTTTCCTTGTTTTCTTAGATCTTAGTCAACTTGACGTTATCACTTACTGAGGCTAGTTTTACCCGATAGAATGCTCCAAGCAGCACCAGTGCCAGAGTTACTGCACAAACTCAACTCATATAATGCTTCCCCAGGAGTTCAAGCCTTACAGCAGAGGTTGAACACATCCCCCCTTCATCCCCAAGTCTCCCCATCAAAACATGAGGCTTTACCGCTGCCAATAGAGGGACAAAACCATCAGCCACCTAAAACCAGCTCTGATCCATACCACCTTTACCTATCTTTGTCTTCCCAGACTCCGTATCCATTCTTCTTGTCATTTTCCCACTGTCCTGTGTATTTAAATGGATGCTCAGCTGAGAGGTTCTCCAGAATCCCAAACCCTTGACGCACGTTGTCTTTGAAATAACCTTTGTAGACCATATCATTCCCATACCTGCAGGGGGACAGACAGACAGAATTTAAGATTCTGACTGTTTGATAGCTACTATTGGAGTAGGAAGCCAGAAAAGCGAGTAGATTAGGCTCATCCACCTGCTAAATATTCCAAATATTTGACAGATAGCTCTGGAGCCGGTAGTTGTTAACCATTAGGAATGTCCATCACCCAAGCTAGTCACTCCACAGTTAACTTTCAAGATTATCCAGGGACACAACACTTAGGGTTGCCATCATCCTGGGAGAGGCCTCAGTCCTTGACCTCTCACCAGTCGAGAGTGACCCCTGGGTAATTCAGAGTAGGAGTAGATCAGATCAAGCAGGAAGCCAGATTTGCCTTCACCTTTCTATGCTCACCAAGCACTCCTTCTCCTGGGTCCCTCGCCCTGCACGTCCTGTACTCTTGAGTTTGATTCATAAATAAGGAGCACAGCAAGCAGGTTGCAGGAAGGAAGATAGCCTATCCCATAATAAGCTGCTGGAAAACTGAACTGTGATGCTTTCCTCTGCCACAGTTGGCTCAGAGAAAGCAAGCGTATGTGCAGTAACAACGGGCAGTCTGGTCTTCACGTTGGCCAACCCATTTGGCTACAAGCCACGTGTGACCTAAGCCAAGATTGTTGCGCTCAGTGCTACACAAACAAAGCAAGCTGGCCCTCTCCACTTAACCCCACAGGCTGCAAATGAAACCAGTTTATACCTACAACCTGTGGACCAGGCCTCTGCTGCCTTTTCTGGCCTTCTAAATGGAAGGTAGATGGTGGGTAAGGCTGGGACACCACCATGTGCCCACAGTATGTTGCTGGACAGACTGGGCTTCATCCAAATTCCCAGCAGTGCTTTGAGGTGCAGCTGTGTCAACAATCCCATCCGTCATTAAGGAAGTTACTCCATACAAGATTTAATTCAGATGATATGGCCAGGGAAGAAATAGAGAGCTGTGGACTCCACCAAGTCTGCCCATGGCTGATGGCACACCACGTGCTCTCTGCTCTGAGTCCCCTTTTCCCCCCCAGAGCCTGTCTTTGGGTTTTACTTACTCACAGATTCCATAGCCTCTCATCTTGCCTTCATACCAGTGGCACTTATAGCAGTCATACCGGTCTTCAGATCGGCGTGGGACAAGACATATTCCAAACCTACAAAGTCCATATGGCAGAGGTCAGTGTGGCAAAAGGCAACTCGATTGTACTGGATGAAGTTTGAAAACTAAAGACATTCCAGACTCCCAAACTGATTTACACGGTTGATGTCAGCTCTACATCTGACACTACTTCTACATCTTGATGGACTTGATCCAAGGAAGAGCTCATCTCCCTGTAAGCTGCAGTCACATTTCTCATTGCTGCTTCTACAGAGCTACTTTCAGTGGTGTTAGTTTATTTCCCCCCATCTCTACCCCTTCCCCAGTTTAGGGGCTAAGCTAGACTACCAAAGCAATTGCTTTGATCCAAACAAAATGTTTTCTTTAGCCCGACACAAACTACTTGAGACTTTTATTTTCTGTTTAAAAACCTAACCTATTCTGGAAGTCATGCAGAAATGAGAAATCTAAAAGTCTTATTTTCAGAAAGTTTTAAAAAAATAATGTTTGAATTTCATAATATGGTTTCTTTCCCCTGAAAATTCCTCATCTGAGAGAGGTTTTTAAAGATATCTAAAAATAACTTTTCAAGGGATTTAATATGAATAAATTCACCTAGATTTAGAGACTGGGGTCAGATTCATCCAGCTGAAGAGATGTTTGCATATGAACCGGTCATCTGTCCACGCTCCCTATCCACTCACTCTAGGTTACAACCTGCTCAAGCTTAAACCAGGTGTTTAAAATAGGCCAGATGAACTGGGCTGTAACTGTGAATAGGGTCCATCTACAAGACGCCAGTGTCCCTGTGTGTCTGGGAGGGACAATTTCTTGGCTTATTTTGAAAGCAAGAAATTCTCTGGGTTTTAAGACCTACCCATGCTCCAAGCCCTCTTTGAAATCTCCAACGTGGTTGCGTCCGTCGCGCCACTTCAGCGTTCCCCTGCGATTCAAAGAAAACATTTCACAAGGGGGATCACCAGCAACATTCCCAGCTCCAACAGAAGGTATCAAGGCATAACCTAGAAATTGCTAACATCAAAACATTTCCTCAGGGGGTAGAGACACAGAAGTTCTCCAGGCACCTCTAGGACTTTGGTTTAGACACTAAGGATTTAATACCATCATGTTTTCATGCCCTGGAATGAGTGGAAAGAATCCTCTTCCAAGTTCCCTAATCTCAAAAGCATTTTGTAGAGTTGATGGATCATGCATTTAGGACCTTGCACATGATCCTTTTGTCATTGCAGTGCAGTGTGTCATTAAGCCAACTGAAGTTCCAGCATGGCACGTCCCCTAAGACAACATAATGACAACACGGTCCAGAACTTCATTGTACCAGGCACTATGAAAACAAAAGAGACAAGCCCTGGCCTAAAGGGATCATATCTTTCCATCTGTTCTGTGTGGGGGTTGTAGAAGTGATTACACGAGTTAACAATGCAAAATGAGATTGGAAGGGTCAATGAGATGGTACAATTACTGCACGGCCGTGCCAAGCTGGGAATGCATTTCCTCCCCCCTCCCAGTCTGCCACCCACACCCTCTCACTGGTTTAATTCTTGCATCATCCCAGACACAAAAAAAGAACCAGAGACAACAGAAGGTGGTGCGCTACCAAAACCATGACGCATTCCTTTGACTTTCACTGAGGCTGTTGCTTTAAACACCTGCATGAGACAGGCTCTTTTTGCTGGTATTTACAAGGAAGTGGTCAGATTAATTTAAAGTGTATTTAAAATATGCATCCTTTTGCTTTGCTAGTATGAATGCTAGCAAAGGAGAGCAAACCACAGAGAATGCCTGCTCCAGCCACGGTGATGGTTTAAGCAACGTCTCAGTGGGTGTATCTCCTTCCACCACACCAGGTCAGCAGGAGTACTGGGACAGAACAGTGAAGAACACAGATGGTTTTGCTGAAGAGCCCTGACTCACACTGCTACAGCTTTCTACTCATGTGCTTTGCCATGCCAGCCTCTCCCTCAGAGGTGGACAAGCCATCGAGGCCAGCTTTGCTGCTCTGCAACCTTGTATTAGTAGCAAATCACATAGGAGAGTAATGTCAGGAGTGGGAAGGAAAACCTAGTAATTAAGCAAGAAAGCCCAGGTATTAAAAGCACCCGAAGTCCCTTAGTTCTGCCACAGATTTCCTGGGATGCCTCAGTCAAGTCACTTAATCTGAAGCAGCAGAGGTATTTATTAATTGAATCTCTCCAACCCTAAGATAGGAGGAGACAAAGAGCAGGGAGAGGTGCTTGTCCCTCTGTGTCTGCACCCAGGGGTTTTGCAATCTCTGGTAGGAGTGCAGGTGCTGGGGAAGGTGGGGACGATGTTGAGGACTGCCTCGGGCATAGCTGTACTCCAAACACCTACTTCATGCTGTTCAAGGCATAATCTCTTCCACAGGAGATTCACGATTAAGCTTTTGGTTTTGGATGTTCTTCTCATTATTTTAAGACTCTTTCAAACCAAGTCACTACATCCTTTTTGCTTCAACTGTAAACAAACTGTGTAAAACTCAGGAGTTATAAAACTTCCAAATCAGCCTGTTTGGGTGTCTGAAGAGGTTGGTCATATTTCATGTTCCTTCACTAAAACAGAGACTGTGCTCTATCCTATGTCAAAGAGATTTTGGGTGGGACCATTTAACCTCTGATTTACAGTGGAAGGAAGGGAGGCCATTCAGA